TATTGATCGAAGGACGTTCATACTGAGCAACAGTTTTCTCTGTTCCTCTTTATTGCTGTGAGACATGTTAATTGGAAGTGGAAAATCTGAAGAGACTAGTTGTCTCTCACCACAGTGGCTCGCTCACCACCTTCGTTGTCATTTGGTTGAAAATAGTGAGTAATATTGAGGTTAGGTGTAGTGTTAGATGAGGTAGGTATACCTCTAGATGAGATTGTGAAGTTTTATTGACAGAGATGGGTGAGAAATGTGTTATGCATGTTTGAAGATTGCCTTCCTCGAGGAGTAGTATTAGTAGATATAAGGTTGGTTTATTATTACTATTATTCCTTTCGATTCTGAGTGGAACATAAGAAGAACATCTCCATTACAGTATCTTCTCCGCAGTCTTTTGTACCTGACACCACAACTGCCCATAAGCTTTCATTCCCCCGTGGCATGGGTTTCTCCTTGAATAGATATCCACCTGGCGGATTCCTATTCGCGTTCCATTCGTGTGTGCAGTGTCACTCGATGGTCTCCTCAGAGTATGTTCAACCCATCTTTAAACCTTTCAGATCAGTCAAAAAAAAATGCTATTAGACAATGGAATCTTTGACTTCTGTTTACAGCTACATACGCAGGTGTCGACTGTGTATGGCCGTTCTATGCTAAGAATCAATGGCTGAAGACCATGGATAATGTAACCTAAAGTTGCTCTCAATGGGTCAGATGCATTCATTCTTTGATAGTCTTCTAGATTCACTAAGTCCTTAGTACCCTTTGTGGAATTATTTCTTCTCCAGAAAAGTTTTGTCCATTTGTAGATGCATCCCGTCTCTTCCCTCTGCCTTTTATGTGTGCTGTTGATATAAGAATAGAACTTGTCCATTGTGATAGAGTATAATTCCATTTTGGGTAAAATTTATTTTGATAAAGTCTCACAGTGTTGTTATACAATAATATTTGGTGATGACCATATTTTGACCACAATCTATTACCCTGCTCATAGTTATCATATCAAGGCACTACCCACACAAATTTCTAACTTCGTTCATATAATTCCATCATTATATTTCATCACTTGTGTCTTGATTGGTAGTAGTATTTCCCATATTTCTGGCATGACTGATGAATCATTCCTATTGCACGTGTTTGGTGTGGACTCGATGAACAAGGATATTGATTTTAATACGTTAATTCCTACTCCAAAAATATGGCGAAGGTATGTGGATGACCGTGTTAAAAACAGAACATATCTCTCTCTAGCTACTTGACGCATATAAAATCACTAATAAAGGGAATAAAATTCACATTTGAATCGGAAAATGAACAAGGAGAATTAGCTATCATGTTAGATTGTAAAATAAAACGAATAGAAGAAGGCAAACTACACACTAGTGTTTATAAAAAGCCAACGCATTCTGCTAATAGATACTTAGATTTTAATTCATCTGATCCGTTGACTGTTAAGGCAGGCTTAGTTAAGTTTCTAACAGACCGAGCAGTGGCACTAAGTAACACAAAAAAGGCCTAAATGATGAAATAGAACAGATAAAAGAAGCGTCGGTGTTGAATAACTAACTATCCTATACAATTCATTAGGAATATCAGAAATGGTCAGAAGCGAAATAAAAATAATAATGAAACTAGTAATAATAACATAAATAAGAAAGAATATAAGGCATCTACTGTTATACCATAAAAGGAGGGGACGTCTGAGACAGTACTTTGCAGGATTCTTAATAAGGCAGGAATTAGGGTGGCATTTAAACCTACAAACTCACTCACGTAGGACAAGCTCTATCGGTTAAAGGAGTCTGTCGTTGACCCAGTAGGACAATATAATATAATTTACAAAATATCTTGCAGTGACTGTGAGTTAGTTCAACTACATAGGTCAGTGAAACTAGTAGATGAGGGGTAATCAGATTTTCAGGACATATGAATTTAGCTAAATGTAGAATGATTGGTCCAACGAAGACAAGTAATTTAGAAAAAAGCTCAGCGACTGCGATGCATGCATTAACACATAACCACACAATAGCATGGTGGGAGAGGGTTAAAATTCTAAAAAGTAATCTAGGTAGGTGAAGAGAGAGAGGTTGATTACTGAATCCTTGTTCATCGAATAATCTACACGCAACACTTGCAAAAGTAATCAATCATCATTCATACCAGAAATATGGAAGTATTACTACCAATCAATTCGAGAGATGATATATAATCATGGAATTATGTGAACGAAGTTAGAAAGTTGTGTGAGTAGTGCGTTGATATGATTATGAATTGTGCTCGAAAGGTGGTCATCAGTAAATATTACTGTATTACAACACTGTGAAACCTGATCAAAATAAATTTTACCCATAAAGGAATTAACCCAACCATCACACTGGACAAGTTCTATTCTTATATTCAAATATACCTCTTGAATTTTAGGTTTACATGATTTCAAGTTATTCAATAAAGATAAATGTTGTCAGTTTTCAAACTAGTATGTATAAGCAACAAGGGATTGTGGCAGCGGATCAACCAAAAAACCTACTGCCCCCACACACATGCAGAAGGAAATGAAGAAGGATTAGACATACACCCTGAGAAGACCACTGAGTAACATCACACACCAAGCTTACAAATAGTAAATGGATGGGAGAAAATAACATCTGGGAGTGAATCTGATGGTAACCTGGAGGAGATCGTGTAAGGGGAATGTCAAGGCTTGTAGGTAGTCATGATCGTTATTATTATTGTTCCCTTGCGTTCCTATTGGAACATAGGGCTTAAACTGCACGTCTCCACTTGCCACTTCTGTCTTCCTTCTGCTGTACTTTTCACCTCCATGTTAGTCCATACTCTTTCAACTACACTCTCTTCACACGATCTCCTCCATGTCACCCTTGCGCTGAAGACCCACTCACCGCTTCCCTTTCAGCCTGGTTCCACTCAACCAATGGCCTGACACGCGCACGATGTCACACAGCGGCCTCCTCACCAAACGAGTGTCCAATCCATCCGTCTCCACTTTCTCCTGCATATTTGTTGTTTGGCGATTGGTTCTTGTTGTGTTGTTTGTTCCCATAGTTTCTTGTTGGTGGTGATTCTTTCCTCGTCCGCTCCAACAGCCTGTAGTTGAGACGAAGCTTCCTAGGTAAGTGAATGAAGTAACCTCTTTCAAATCCCTCCCGTTGATGGTGATTGGCAGATTTGAAGTCAACTAAATATGACCTTGGAAGACAAAATATAGTCCGGTTGTGCTTCCGACACCCTATGTTGGACTCTGAACGCAAGGAGAAGTTATCGGAAAGAATATTTTTTGTCCATTAATTGGTGTTTTCAAACCTTTACCTCATTACTATCGATGTTGTTTTTCATGCGTCGACTTTTGTTTACTTCAATCTCCGTCCAGCAACATCAGTGCAATACAAAAGTTAGTGTTATATTTTAAGTAGAAATGCATCACTTTAAATCACGACATTTCATGATATGACCAAAAAGGAGGCAGACATTCTCCAAGTGTATCTCTGAACATCCTCCGGCACGGTTGTCAAGAGAAGAATACAAAAAAAAAACTAGTAGTCCATTTCTTGAGCACTTGGTGAATTCAAGCCACGCAGTTCCACCAGAATCATCTTTTTATAAAATTTTAGTCGCACAGTCAGATTGAATGGAACAAGGAGACTTAGTTTTCGGCAATTGTATACACGCCAGTCATTCGTTGATAAAACATAAAGTTCTATGTGCAGAAAAGTTTTGTTCAGTCTTTTTTGTTCCCCTCTAGTCTTAAACTCTTTTTCCTACTTGTTTGCTTCTATTTTTAGTAGGTAATTCACTATTGTCACTATTACTCTCCTCCTTTTTTATATTTCATTGTGATTTGATGGTACAGCGGTAGAATGCCCGCTAGCCACGCAAGTGGTTCAGGGTTCGATCCTCGGTCGACTCATGAAGGCAGTAATAAGACTGGAAAAGAGAGAAGGTTGGACGTAAGACTAATAACCCCTACTGGAATTTCAAAACTTTGGCTTGAAGCCTGAACGTAAAGGAATAAAATGATAATAATGGTGTTTTTGTACATTTCACTAGGTTTTATACTCACCTTCTTCACATTCTTGTCAAGTGGACACTCAACCAGCCTGCTTCTCATCAAATGAGAATTCTCATCTCATCAAAATTTTAAACCTTCACTTTTATTGTATGGTTGACTACTATGTAATTGCTTATCTTTAGAAACCAGTACTGATTGCGTGATTGTATTAATCGTGTTACCTCGTGTCACTCAATAATAGACTTCCATATTGGTTACAGGATTTCATCATGATTTGACATTGGTTAGAGAACCATTGGAAAACCTGTCAGGGAGTACTGGACAGTTGTTTCGTCCGCCTAGTTTGGGACTCTTCATCAGTACGCACCCACCACCGGGGTTCGAACCAAGGACCTCCTGGTTACAAGGTCAGCGTGTATACCATTAAGCCACTGGGACCTGATCCAATGGCCAGTGCATGAATTCTAACTTCTGCTAATTCACGATACAGAGCAACCGCTAGCCAATGTCTTCAGCGAGTATTTGTCCTATAAATATTCTGTATATTTTTGATTAATATAAATAGGGTTGTATGGCCTTTCGAGATGATTCAAATGGCTTTCATATTTTTCGAAATACAATAACTTTGATGCGGTTGTGTTCTCTGAGCTAGACAGTAAATTTTGCGAAGCTTTCATTGCCCTATTAGGCAACATCTTCAGCGCATACTTCAATTTGAATTGAAGTTAGCTTTTAGATTTCTCCACGAGTTTATCAGTCATCTCTCCTGGTGACCTTGGACGTGACTGAACGTGAAAGCTTCGCAAATTTAACACTCCAGCTCAGAGAACACAACCACATCAAAATCGTCCACCTGAGCTACAAATCGTCGCTATCATATCAAAATATAATCATGTTTTGAATCGAATACACGTACACACGAACGAACATTTAGAAAAAACTTAGGTTAACAGAAAAATTCCCTACTTTAACTTACTTCTTATATTACGACATAAAACATTATTCAGTGCAGGATCAATGTATTCTTCAACACCTTCAATTAAACAGGCTACACCAAATTTTATAGCATTTTCAACATTTCTCAAGAAATTTGGATCATTCTGAGTTGTTACCTATTTAAAATGTACATGGTGAACACATATTTTATCTTTTTATAAATACATATATATATATATTTGCAGAGTGAAATTTAAATGTTTAGCTAAACGTTTTCAAGAAACGTTGATGTTTTCATCAAATAGTCTTGCTGTAGATCAGACATTCCTTCCATTTTTAAAGAGCAGATATTTGTGAGAGATTTTTATTCCTTCACGCTCCTCCCACCCCCCCCCCCCAGTGGAACATAGGCCTTCAAGCTACAGGCTTGAAGTTTCTGTACCAGTGGCATTCATTTTTACAGGAGGGGGGCACTAGCCTCATGCTCAATCTTCTCTCTTTACCAGTTTTACTACTGGCTTAGAGAGGTAAAGGAGTGCGTCTATGGCGGGGGATCGAACCCCGGACCATGTATACGACCGGCAAACTTCCTAACCGCTGTGCAACCAATGCACAATATTTATGAGATACTCAACGATAAATTAAGAAAATACTTTGTCATTCGAATAAGAGGATCAAAGGTTACTTTCATGAAATGAATAGTCATTATAAATTCAAACGAATTGGGTGAAAGGAGGAAGGAAATGTTTAATTCAGCTTGTGGGGATACCTTTCCTCGTCCGGTTACTATTTTGCGTTACGCTTGGAACACATGGCTCCAGTTTTTTTATAGTTTCAATAGCGGTGTTATTTTTATAGGATACAGTTGCTAGTTATTAGATGATTGGAGGCAATCGGCCATAGGAAGCCTTGAACCTAGCTTTCGCTCCTGTTGATACTCACCGGTCAGCAAGGCATATCTGCAATTTTGAAGGAAATCATGTCCCTTGTGAGATTATGAGATCCTGAGTGTACCATGATGGTAAAGGACCTAGCCTGGTGGCCCCATTGCATACTTGACTGATAGAATTCAGTCTGCAGTAAACAAAGGACTAGACACATGACACCAGTTAGTGTCCAATCAAAAGTACTTAAAACAATCCTAGAGAAAGTCAATCCCGATCCCAGATAGCCCAGTGGTAACGTCTCTAACGACACCACTTACTGGGTGACGCGGGTTCGAATCTCAGAAGGACGGATATGAGTTCCCTCAAGATTGCAGATATGCCTGGCTGACTGACTGGTGAGTGTCAACTAGAACGAAACCCAGGTTCAAGGCTTCCTGTGACCGATCACCTTCCACCATTCAATACCAACAATTCACAATACACCGTGATGGCGAGTCATCTAGCATCGTGGCCACATTGCAAACTTGACTAAAAGAATTCAATCTGCTGCAAGGAAAGGACTAAACACATGACACTGGTTAGTCTCCAATCAGAAGTGAAGTTGCTAGTCTGACGCCTAACTTTCCTTTTTTGTTGAGCTTTCTAGCGACAAGAAGTTTATAATCACATCGGCGTGGAATCAAATCCTAAATATCCGCGTGGTTAGGGTACATTCTACCATTGAATTGCCAGCCGATTCTATTTTCATTTAATTATTCAGATAAAGTAATAAAAAGACGTAATTTGTCTGAACCGTTTAATGTAGAATTCGTGCAACACATTTCGAACAATCTGATCACACACGGACTTGTAATAGGAATATATATGAAATTAATAAAGAGGTAAGAGGTGAGAAAATAGACTTAGGTCAAGTTAAAAGGATATATTCAAGGTCAAAATAACAATGAAGACCACTAAACCAAATGGCAAAGGTAATAGTACATCTACTCTGGTTGGTATCAAAACAAAATTTACCAAGGAATTGTTTTTGAGCGCATAAAGGTGGTTTGAACTTTCTAATTGCTAGGGTTTCTACAGACTTTAGGATACGCCCCAAACACGTTTTATAGATAGATTTAAAAGATCTGTTAACATCATCTTTATGTCCTGTCTCTATAATATGTTTCGCAATAGAAGAGCTAGGTCTCCTGTCCTCACCGTTAACAGGTTCTGAAGATTCCATTTGTTTCTGGAGCCATTTAGAAATATGCTCTAAAGCCTTTACTTGCAGAGATCGATGAGTCCTCCCTATGTATGTCTGTCCACACGTACATTCAAATAGGTAAATACAGTGGGATGTGACCTCATTTTTCGCAGGTTCGAAGGGCTTAGATAGATATAATGACTTTACATTCTCTATTATTATGATATTAGCTGCATAAAAAGTCTTTTTAACAGCAGCGTTCAGTCTTTGTCTAGTTATCAAGCTGCTTTGATGTCCCATATAGGGTAGCTTGATGTACACGTCTTTCTTAGGGGCGAGTTGGAGAATGGGTCTTGGTGTTCCACTATCCACTTTATACCTCCTGATGAATTTGTCTGGATAATTGTTATCAACCAGAGATTGTGTCAACTTTCTTTCTTCTTCATCAAGTGTGTCTTCAGTGCATATTCGTCGGATTCTACTGAAGAAGCACCTTACTAAGGCTCTTTTGTACCGAACAGGGCAGAAACTGTGATAATTAAGATACTATCCTGTCCAGGTAGGTTTTCTATAAATAGATCTTTTTACTGACCCATAAAACCATCGACTAAGCAATATGACTAGGAAAGATAAACAATTATCTTCCTCGTCTACCTACAGACGTAAGTGATATGCTATTCTGAACTTCATTCATTCGATTTAAAATTGAGGTGGCAGAACAACGAGGCTTATCACTGATGACTACGATATCATCTACATACCTTTTATAAAGTGGTACATTTTCGATTAAATCTTCCGATAAATTCTCAATGTGCGACATATAAATATCTGCTAAAAGGGGCCCTAACGGACTGCCCATAGCAACACCATCAACTTGGCGGAAACAATCGCCTTCAAATGTAAACCTAATATTGTTAGTACATAGAAGTAATAAATCCCTTAAATAAGATATAGGGAACGGGATGAAAAAATTGTTTGTGGAAATATAATCACATAAAATGTCAACATTAGTAAATAACGTGTTTACATCAAAAGAGTACATATTCTTGTTCATAATATTAATATTACTATCATCAAGAAAATCAACCACTTCAAATATATCTTTTAACACATACTTACAGAATTGTGGTTTGACTGGATTCAATAATTCTACTAACCATCTAGCAAGTTTATATGTTGGGGATTCGCATATTGACAATATAGGACGAAGAGGATTATTGGGTTTATGTATTTTTGGAAACCCATTTAACTTGACCTAAGTCTATTTTCTTACCTCTTACCTCTTTATTAATTTCATATATATACCTATGACAAGTCCGCGTGTGTGATCAGATTGTTCGAAATGTGTTGCGCCAACACAACATTACATTATTCAGACAAATTACGTCTTCTTATTGCTTTATCTAAATTCATAAAGGGAACTAACTGTTTTAAATTTTTAATTATTCAATTCTACAGTCTGAAATATTCCCTTTGCATGCATTAAAAAGTTCATCTGAACAAACAAATATTCTTTTCAATAAATTCTCCTCTTCAGGCTATGATGATTTTTCATTATAACAATAATTACCCAGTATTCCGTGGATATATCAGATGCTTACTACTCAATGTTTACTCAAAACTTACAGATTCTATCAACCAGAACCAACTTGGCAGTTTTCCTTTCGCACACTGTATCATTATCATTCTATTCACACTATTTCAAAGTGAATTCAGCTCACAACGCTTGTTATTAAAGTACATTTTATATTATCCTCTTACCTTACAACTTAAAACTAATCCCTTCTGCATACCTGACTGGCGATTATTAAAATAATTACGAAATGCATTGTATAACCGTATAAACATGAAGAGAATACAGTTTAAAACCATAGAGACAATTTGAAACCAGTTTAGGTGAAGAACATGTTTATGTACATAACAAAATTTCGTTTCAGTCAACATATTCATCACTGCATAACTTACTCGTAATGAACGAGCTTCATCTTTAGTATTACGTTCCATTTTTTTAATCCATCTTGCTGCTTGACCTTGTGGATCAATACAAACTGGTGAAGTAGGTCCTTTTGTAGTCAGAATTGCATTTTGTGTACTTAATTCATCTGTTGGCAGACTTTGTGAATTCCATAAAGAGATTTCAACTTCTGTAGCTAAGATATGTTCAACTTTGATACCGTCTGTTGTAGGTATCTATTTTTATGATATGGATAAGAGTAAATAAAAACCGATAATTCAGTGTCAAGTGGAAAGTATTGAAAGAAGTCATATTCTAATCTGACATGATCTAGGCAGTATCATTTCAACTACAGATAAGACAGATAAAGACAGTCGGCCAGGCCTCTATTATTCTGACGACAATGTGAAAATTTACCGAAAGCCTACATGGAAAAGATAAATACCTACATTTTAATAGTTTTTGTCCAAATAGCTATAAACGAGCACTAGTCAAGACTCTATACTATAGAGCTAAGAGATTATACTCTATACAGAAATTACAGGAAGAATTTTTGTTTCTCGAAAAGATGTTGAAAAGCGGTTGTCACCCTCAAAGTACGAAAGATCTGAAGGCTCAAATATCAAATAAATCACAGTGGAAAAAAGCTAATCTACATTCAACTTGATTTTAAAGGAGACCTCAATGGTCAACAGAGGATCGAGGACGTCGCTAGCCAAAGCCTATATTGCAGCTAAGCTCGTTCCCGTCTATCGAACAACTTGCTCTTTAGTGCAATCAAAAATCGATAGATATCCTTGTCGTGTTAACTCCAACTGTATAACTACAAATTTACATGCATCTGCGGGAGCAGTCACATTAAAAGAACAGAAAAAAGCGCCTACCTCCAATTTTTTAAACATGTAGCAAAAAAACTTATGTCTAAAGGGAACAAATGCTTTCAACAGTGCCATCGCCAGGCATCTCCTTGACACGTGTCATGAGGTGAACGTCTCATTATCTTCCAAAATTATCAAAAGGTAAAAGAGTTCACTTCTCCTTAAGTTTGCCGAAACAATGTCCATCAAGCTGCTGAAATCCCGTTTATGCGTTTCAGAAAGAAGCGGTTGTCAGTCTTTCCTTGCCCTGGTAGCCGGATATTTTCACCCTCTCTTTCATCTGATTACGTAATGGCGAAATTCTCCACTGTGTATGATTATTATTGTTGTTCGGGATAAAGTGTTTATTATTGTATGCATATATTCACTGATTCGTTCTTCGTTTAAAAATGAACTTTTTGCAAGTATGTTAAAATTTTTTCTGTAGATATATTTAATAATGACTTTGGGCTGTAAGCAGCTGATGAGAAGTCACCCAAATAAAGAATGATGGTACCATTTTATTCCGCAAAAACTCTTGTTTTTGCTTTATTAAAATCCATTAAAGGGAATATATGTATGAAGTGTTAAAATCGAATGCACTTAACAAAAATGAACAAGATCCAAATCTTTCAACAATGATGTCAAGTCAGTGCTTCTATATATATTTCAGAGACTTGGGGCCCGCTGCACGAAAATGATATCCAATAGTCTGATGCAAAATTTCACCAACAGCTGTCCCTTTCACTGCCTCGACACTGAAGATTAGATGCCCAGTTGAGAAGAATAGGGCGACGTCTGTCTGTCTGGATTCAACACAGAACTTGCCACCGAAGTGCAGCATTTCGGGTTGCCACGTTCCAAATACCACACAAAGGTAGACAAGAAGATGAATGAAGAGAATCAATAAAGTTTGACAAGTATAAGAGTGAAACAGAATGGGTAATGGTAGAAAGGAATATGAAAGATTACAGAGACTGAATACATCTGCTCTGGCCATTGACAACGATTTTGAGCCATGTCACCTATTGTCTCCAGCCATTGATTCTTAGAGTCCCATGGGCCACATCCCGGAAGTCTGCATCTCCCTACCTGACTGAGTTTAACTGTCAAGGATTTCATGGATTGATGCCATGTTTTTGTTTGGCCACCACTTACTCTTTTCCAACCTGCGACGAACTAACCAAGAAACTAATCCCCGACAAATTTGCAGCTGGAAACAGAGATGGATTGGACATACGCTGAGAAGACCTTTAAGTAACATGACGCATACACACACACCAGCCAGGCCCTCTAGGGAAACTAATATTGGAAACGACAAGTATTGTGTAGGTTCAAGGGTGACATAGAAGAGATCATGTGAGTAGGAAGTAGATAGATGCCTATGAGAGATAGTGGAACCACCTTAAAAAGACTGTAGTGACCATAGTGAAATAGAGATGCGTTGACGAAGCCCGGTGGTCTACTTTGAATCCAAGAGAATAATAATAATAAAACTGATTGTAAGTCTATCTGGGATAGTTCTGAGTTGACTGACTGAAGGCAAAATAAAAAATTGGGTCGAAGATGGGAGTTGAACCAGCCTCTTTGGATCAGTAGTCCGGAGGCCTTCAATCACCATCCACGAGTTCTTTCTTAAACTGCCATCACAACAAGAAAAACAAGATTTGAGGTTTATTTTTAGGTGCCGGTAACTTAAAATATACATACAGAAATTTAGCGTGAATATCGTAGACTCAGGAAACATCAATAAGAGGAATATAATGGCATAACTATTGCAACTGACACAAAAAGAAACTAGCTATATATCATGAGTTTGAATGTAGACTCGAGAAATTGTGGTATATGACTAGACAATAAAACATTGATTAGCAAGCAATATACAAAAAAATTAACCGATTACTCAAGAATACACAAGAAAGTACCTAAACTGTTTGAAATTTAAGAGAAGCACAGAAATAAGATCTGCACAAATGACGCTACGAATCCTGTTTTCTCGTGCTTTAGCAAAGCTTGTCAAGGGGGATACGCTATTCCAGTCTCCCTTATATGTTAGGATATTCCTTCTTATTTCATTTCCAGGAAAAACAGAACGACTAGCCAGCTTGCCTTTTAATCTGAAGGTTCTGATCTCCATCCCCAATGGAGTGGCACATGAAAACTGATGAGGAGTCTTCAACTAGGATGAAACTGCTCTCCAGTACAATCTGGTTTTCATTGGTTCCCTAACTGATAACAATCAGTAATCAGAATTGAAATCAATCAATTCTCTCATAAATAACATTTTTAAAGTACAAACTATTTATTTCAGGAATTTTTTTTTTTGCATTCCTAGTGGAACATAGGGATTCAAACTACAGGCTTGAAGTTCCTGTAGCAATGGCGTTCATTTTTACAGGATGGGATCACTAGCCTCATGGTCAACCTTTCCTCTTTACTTGTCTTACTACTGGCTTAGAGAGTTAAAGGAATGCGTCTGTGGTCGGGGGTCGAACCCCGAGCCATGTGTATGGCCGGCAAGCGTCCTAACCGCTGTGCCACTCACGCACATTTCACGATTAACAGCTTTTGAATAATAAGTGTTTCAGTCAGAAGATCAACGCAACAGTCGCTGATTTCAATGAACTACCCTCCTTCTTTTAGCTTACTTTACAAATCTTCTGTCCAACATAACTAGTTACGAGGCTGAACTTTTAGTTAAACTTCATCTCTGATATTTTTGATAATATTTTATTAACAGGAATCTAAATACCAAAAATATTTCAATCAACTTACTCCATCTTGAATTAAAGATACTAGCCAATCTTTATAGATTAAACGTTGACGAAATTCTGATGTAAATGGACCTAAATAGCATAAGAAGGCTGATGCCAGCATACTGTTTCCCAGAAGAGATTTTTGTTCACTTTCCAAATTTGCTACTTCATTAATCCAACTATAGGGAGAAAATTAAGTAGATTATATGTTGAAATTGAAGGTGTGTTGAATATTTTTATTGATAAAACAAGAAAAAACCCTCATGAATGCATAGCACTATATACTACTGACTGATTGATGTGAGTAGTATGCAACCACTCACATAAATTAGTAGTGATTGCTAACCGAGTCAAAGTGATCTAAACAGCAAACGGCTGTTTTGTTAGTAATGTATTCGGTTTGACTCAGCTCACAAGACCGAATCAGTGGTTTGAACTGACTGATGTGACTGGTATGGAACTACTCATCTCATTCCAATCAGTAGTATATAGCGTTGTGCAAGTCACTGGGAATTAACTAAGTTCCAAGAGTTGGTTTGTGACGACTGGATTTTTTTACGAGTTTTACCGTGGATATTTAACTGACATCATTCCAAATCTAATTCTCACAAGCCAACTCTTGAAAACTAATCTGATGCTCGCTATTGATTTGCTACAGAACAGAGTTACCTGGAGTTCTAAAGAGAAGTCGTAACCAGTGAGGTCCATCCAAGTCAAGTGTGAGGATGGATTTCCCACCGATGACATTGGTTGGCGCCAGTAGCGCTAAATCCCGAATTTGCAGAAGTTAGAATTCATGGGTTGACCAATGAATTGCGTCCCAATGGCTGAATGGTCTACTTGCCTTGTAACCGGAAGGTCCTGGGTTCCCCCCTTGGTGGGTGGGGTGCGTACTGCCGATGAATTCCAAACTAGGACGAAACAGCTGTCCAGTACTTCCTGGTTTTCTCTGGTTCTCTAAATGATGTCAATCTGTGGTCAAACTCGTAAAAAATTAACTAAGCATAGAATGATTGTCACCTGGTGGATGTACAGCTTGTAGAAAAACTCTTTAAGAAACTATACAGTTATTTTACAGAAAGCAACCCTTGACCGGATATTATTCTGGAACTTTCCCATCCATTTGATATAAATACACGAATGTGCAGCCTAGATGATGACTTCGTCGAAAAGAAAATTTTCTTCGCTGCAACTGTCTTCTTATTTACTCCTATGACCCAATGTGTATATTCCGTGATTTGAAGAGGAGCAAGAAAGCAATTCATTCCACTTCATATACACTGGGTTCAAGAATAATAAGCAGAAGGCTTCCATAAAATCGACCGTAAAGAATTCTTATCTTTAGGAATTATTGTCTACAACGGAGGCTTAACTAGGTCGACATGTCAACCTGAGACCGAGCACTTCGGTCCAATCAATCGACGGGAAAATCAAAAATTCAATTCAATAATTAATATGACCCGTCGCACAAGAGGTGGCTCTCGTGGCCCAAGTGGTCTAGTGGATAACGCTTTGGCGTTTGAAACTATGGGTACTGGGTTCGAGCCTCAGTGGGAACATCATCACTCACTGAGAAATGCAGGTACATCCAGCTGACGAGTCCCAAATAGGACGAAATGCGCATCCTGGATTCCACTGCTAGCCACCATCCACCAATTGTATACTAACTAAATACCCAGACATCGTCGAAGCATCTGCACAAGAAGCCGACATGTCAACCTGAGACCGAGCACTTCGGTCCAATCAATCGACGGGAAAATCAAAAATTCAATTCAATAGGTCTTACTTCATCTGCGTGAATCTGAAACAAAATCCTTCCAGTAGTTGGTCACAGATGTCGTTCATCTAGTCCTTGGTGTTGGTAAAAACTGGATTGCATTGGTCATATTCGCAAACTAGGTGACTTGAGAAGAATTGATGTCCCCCCCTAAGATTCAACGTCAGGTCAACTAGTGAAACAGTCAGAGACGCTAACACTGAGCAATTCAGTCTCAAGAATTAGGCTTCAACAACAAATGACAATAAACATCCACAAAAACATCTATAAAGAGTTCCTGTCGTTCAGAATTAGTATCTTAAAGTATCAGAAACCCAGAGAAGTGTAAGTATAACGACAGAGAGAAAATAGAGGTGATGAAGATTCCTGGTCAACAGCAACAACAACAACAACAACAACAACAACAAACAAACAACAATCAGCCAACATAAATAGGAGGAATCTGAAAGAAGCAACCTCCTCTGCCTACCTACCTGGGAAGCATCGATTCAACTAAAGGCAGACGGAATTGATGAAGATATCAAAGCAAGGATCCAGAAAGCAAGTCACGCTTTCATTACTCTCAAGTCTATGTGGAGGTCAACAGCACTCAGCAATAAAAATAAGATCCGGATTCTCAACTACAATGTGAAGTTTGTCAGTGCTACTATATGGATAAGAGACTTGACGCATCATGAAAGCCACTTCGAACGAACTACATATCCTCATCAACAACTCTCTTCGCTCAATGCTACTCAAGATCAGATGGTCGGCCAGAAAAGATGATCAACAGTGAGGGATCTCTGGCAATGAGCGAACAAACCCAGTAGGAATTGACTGTGCAACAAATTTGGAGGAAGAAATGGAGGTGGATTGATTGGCCATACTCTGGGAAAATAAACCATCAAATGAGTGACATCCAACTCTAGGCCATCGCTAAAGTGGAACTCGAATGGGAAGCTGCGTGTTAGTTGGTAGTCAGTGTGAAGGTGACATGGAGGAGGTGATTCGAAGAGAAGATGAAAGCATGTGAACAGATGTAGAGCCAGGTGGAAAGGTTGTCGAAGAAGGTAACGCAATGGAGTCGTGCGGCTGAAGTCCTATGTTCCTCTAGGAACTGAAGGAAACAATAATAATAATAATAATAATAACAAATTTTAGCACAAATTACTAACACATAAGGTTCAAGATGTGTTGGATAGTGAAAGACGCAAAACAGGATAAACACTAACTCGTCCTAACCTGAGAGATTTCACGAGAGATGGTTAAACCACTTCGTTGAGTGAAGTGAAGGATTATATGATTAGGGTAGTAAGATATAAGAATAAAACTTGTGCACTGTGGTAGAGTGTAATTCCATTATGGGTAAATTTTGTTTTGATAAAATCTCACAGTGTTATATAGTAATGTTTACTGTACAGTGAGCATTACTGCATAACACATTGGTTAGAGAACCACTGGAAAACCAGCTGGGAGTACTGCACAGATGTTTCGTCCTAGTTCGGGACTCTTCATCAGTACGCACCCAACGGGGTTCGAACCCAGGACCTTCTTGTTACAAGGCGAGCTCTTATACCATTAAGCCACTCAGACCCAGCCCAATGACCCATGAATTCTAACTTCTGCAATTCACGATATAGCGTGACCCCTAGCCAGTGTCTTCGACGAGCTCGCCTTGTAACCTGAGGGTCCTGGGTTCGAACCCGTGTGTGTGTGCGTACTGCTGAAGAGTCCCAAACTAGGACGAAACAGTGGTCCAATGGTTCTCTAAACAATGTCAGCTCATGATGAAATCCTGTAACCAATCAAATTCCTACAAATCAACACTTGAGAAAAAATTTTGTTGTAACTAACCGCATTAGATACAGATTGTTGAATATAGTAAAGTCTTAGTGTTATTTTCAAACACCATTAAAAAAAAAACACTCAATCAACATTAAATAATATGCCTACTAACCGTTCTTTCTCAGACCCCAAACCATCTGTTAATTTCTGTGCAGCTAACAATTGACGCTTCATAATATTCATTGTATTTGTTAAATTCTCCATTTCTGTTTGTGCTGAGTCGAATTGACGCCTTAACGATATTAACATATTCTCCAAGTTAGTTACTTCATCTTGTAATTTTTGTAAATCTTTTTTAGCCTTATTAAATTCACGTTCCAAGGCTTTGACACGTTCTCTTTTTGGACGAATCTCTCTACAAGCATCATGAAATGTGATAACAGCTAAAATGAATTTATAAAATCCTCCACCAGCTTTACTAGCTGACTTGACATCTTCATAGGTGAATTTTCGTTTAACAATTAAATCTGTAAGAGAAAGCCGAATTATTATTTAAGTTGATCTTATTTATAATCGAAGGTCAATCAAGGATTGTTCACCATGATGAAGAAATTTAACATGAAAGATATTTATTAACTATTATATTCAAGACAGGTTTTCATTACTGTGAAATCAAGATCGAGATCTTCAGAACTCAGTACAAGATAAGAAAGGGCCAATACCAACGGCATATCAGTGCATTTCCAACAGCCTGCTGCAGACTTTCATCAACGCCAACCCTCTCCGCCCAGCAATGAAGATCGGATGGTTGGAAGGGAAGAATAAGCAGCAAGGAATTCTGACAGGCAGCAAACTCTTCAACATCCCATTGCCCAACTAATGTGCAGGATGAAATGGAGTTGGAATGAACATAATGTAAGGAGACTATTGAGTGACATCAGATATCATACAGACACTCAATTGGAGACCAAATCAGGGGTGATTTCAACTGTTTACGCCATTTCGTCTGTCCAAGTTTAGTATTGCTCTTGCTCACCTGGAATATTATAGCTTAACTACGCTTCTATCATTAGCTTCTCTTGTAATGAACTGTTACCATAAATATGGTGACTATATTGGACATTGTTATTACATAATTTGTCCCTTGAATTCCTAGTGAAGCATCAAGTTTCACTGGTACATCTCCAATTTATTCGGTTTTCTGCCAACTCTTTCAGCTGGCTCCATGAATGCCCAAAAGTTTCATTTTTGGCCTCACACTGTCTCCTACATGTTACTCTCGGACCGACATCCAACTCGTTGGTTCCCATTCAGCTTCTACTAGAGTGCCTGTCTGGCGTGGATATCCATCTCTATTTTGTTGTGTATATTTGTTGGATAATAGATTGATGGTTGGTTTACTGCATTCCAGAGTTCCTGGTTACTTATCCTTCCTGGCTGACCATCTGATATTCACTGTCGACAAGGACGAAAGTCTTCAGCAGCCTGGTGAAAACGCTCTTGTTTCTGAACAGCATAGAAGCATTGATATGACATTAAAAAACATTTGGATCTTATTCCTCATACTGAGTGCTTCAGATCTCCACACCAACCAAAGAGTAACAATAAATCCCTAAAATTAGCCGTACCGTTCGTCCGCTTGCAAAACGCTCTTGGGAACATTAACCAGCTTGAATAACAAAGGCAGAATGCAAGTATTTATATTAGTCCGATGAAAGAACATCGGGTAAGCTCAAGACATCCAGATCCATTTGAAAAGTCCTTCAAAGCCATATGCCAAATCCAGTCAAACCTCTCAAAGGGAATGGAATCAAGGCATCTGGGAATAGCTGAGGAATTAACGATCTAAAAGTTCAAGCCCACGCTATGTGTTCGAAAGAAATACCTCCAACCATTGTCCCTACCATAAGCATCATAAAAAGTCAGTCCTACTAATAGTAATTATCCTATTACCTTTCTTTTCCAATCTTCCTGTTATTTTCACGTTCTTTTTAATTTCCATCTTCATTACTACGTTATTCTTATCCGAAATTACTATCTATTTTGTTATTAGTATGTCTTTAATCCCTAATTGCATAAAAATAGTCATGTTCCTCAGTAATTATGACCCTACTATGTTTGTTTTTTATCCGAACTTTGATTGGACACTAGTAACTAGTGTTATGCGCTTAGTCCTTTCTTTGGTGCAGACTGAATTGAGTCAGTCAGGTTTGCAATGTGGCCACCATTCTAGGTAGCTCATCATCACGGTGCACATGGATATGATGATATTAGATGGTTGAACGCTATCGGCCAAAGGAAGCATTGGACCTAGGTTTCGTGATGGCGAGCTACCTAGAATGGTGGCCATATTGCAAACCTCACTGACTGATAGAATTCAATCTATGCCAAAGAAAGGACTAGACGCATAACACACGTTACTAGTGTCCAATCAAGGTATTCACTACAGTCCTACAGGAGATCAATCGCCAGCCCGAATAGCCCAGTGATAACGTCTCTGCCTGCAGCACTCACTTGGTGACGCGGGTTTGAATCTCAGGAGGAACATGAGTTCCTTCAAAGTTGTAGTTACACGTTGGTGATTGGTGAGTGCCAGCTAGCAGGAAACTTAGGTCCAAGGCTTCCTGCCAATTGCCTCCAACCATCTAACATTGATCCGAACTTCCTGTACATTACACTTTGTAGTTTTATTAATTTGACCCTAAAATGGAAATAGTTCTGGAGCTTTCTCCCCCGCTGAATATAAATACACGAATGTACAACCTAGTTAATGACTTTGTCGAAAAGAAATTTTTCTTCTTGACTGCAATTGTCCTTATAATAATTTACAGCACTACAAATCCAGCTACTGACTTATGTTACGCGACATCTCCAATCCTTAATTTCATGTGGTAGCACAGTGGTTATGACTCTTGCCGACCATGCACATGGTCCGGGGTTCTATCCTCTGCCGACGCACATATGATATCTATGGTCGGCCTGCAAAATGTGGGCTACCGATATCAACATGCTGCAAAATTCCATACCTGTAAGAAAAAATACGGTGTGGAAACAAACTGCAATCAAAAAATATGTATTCTGAAAGCTCACTAGCTAAGTATGTCGGTTGAATTATAATTTTCTCGATTCTCATTTCATACTGTGTACAAAACTGTAAAATTCACTTAAAGTAATAAGAACAAGACGATTTTAAGAGAACAATAGTTCTTGATAAATTCTTTATAGACTCTACAGAGACATGGAACAGACAATAAATCCACTTCCATAGTTTCATGCCCAAACAATATAAATGGAACCTGATTCGTTGTCTTAGTCATAGAACTAGGCGCATATATCTACTGAAGATTGTATTGAAGACGAAATCAAAAATCTTAAAAGTACCCTGCTACAAAATGGTTATCCTATCAATTTTGTAAAGAAGTATATTTTTTCAAAAGAACGGATAAAATTATGTGTGATACGGTGAATAAGAAAAAGCCTTATTTGAGAGTACAGTTCAAATTTGATATATACAATGAAATATTAAGCCGTAGATTGCTCAGATTAGTTTAAAGAACTTTCAGTGCTGAAGAACCACACATCAATTTCTCGACCAGACCGTTACTGACACAGTACACCACAGATGGCCACATCAATATGTGTAAAAAAGATCAACTTCTCATGTGGAGCTAGTTCTGTAGGTGAAACTCAGAGGAATTTATCTTTGCACGCTTGTGAACATGTTCTTGTTTGGCTTGGAAAAAGTTTAACCAAATCGTCTTGTAGATAGTGAATACCACATAAAAATAGATGAGTCGTCGAGTTGTACATCGAGTACTAGACAGTCTACCTAAAGGCACACAAATACGTCTCTAAGCTATAGCGGAAGCTAATAGAGATTAATAAGAAAAAACCTGACCTATGTGTGCAAAAGAAGCACATTCATCCTCTTTTTTTTTACCCTGGCCTTGCTATAAGCTCAGCAGTGACATAATCACCCGTATTTTCAGGTCATATTATGCCTTCTTACTGCTTTTCACCTAGTTCTCTTTACTCCATTACTACTTTTATTATGTGCCAATCTTTTGTAATTTACACTAAGCTTATTATATCTCAACTATTTTACAACAGTTAACAATTTAGTATTTAATTGGTGGATGGTGACTAGCAGTGGAATCCAGGATGCGCATTTCGTCCTATTTGGGACTCGTCGCCCAGACATCGTCGAAGCATCTGCACAAGAAGCCGACATGTCAACATGAGACCGAGCACTTCAGTCCAATCAATCGACGGGAAAATCAAAAATTCAATTCAATAGTTAACAATTTAAACTGTTCATTTTATCAATGCACTTGATATCTTTCAGCTCTTGCTTGAACTTGCATCCAGTGTTCCCCAACTTTTGGTATTTGTTTGTATGTGTTTTGTGGTAATCATTTTTCTCGCACACTAGTGAATATAACTCACCCCCAATCCGTAATGAAACTTGATTATAAATTTTTCGTCAACAGACAAGGAGTGGACAATATCTACATTTTACCAGTTTTGTTCCTACCCAGTATAAAAGTTCCCTAGTGAAATGTTTGTTTCCAAGGGCCTGCAAAGTATGTACGAGCAACACACAGATGGGTGATCTTCGACACATACATTTAGTTTTATTAGCCAATGGTTATCCAGAAAACTAACAATTTTCACAGTAAGGATAGACCACATCTTGAAAAGACAGCTTCTGTACCAAAGAAAGCCATCTTTATTAACCTACTGTTTAAGGGTGATCGAATTATGTAGTTGACAGCTCATACACTTCGGTCAGCCATCAAACGCACATTCTATGCCGCATCTCTTACCCTCACATTCCGAACATTTTCTATCCCTGTACCTACGATTAAAGGACGAAATTCTGTAGATTATACTTCAAAATGTATCTACAAGTTCTTTTGCAGCTTCAGTGACACCTATATAGGTAGAACCAATAGAATGTTCCAATGTCTTTGAAAAGAACATGTTCCAAAATGGCTATTAAGACACATAGAAAATCCCAATGCAATTATTAATCTGACTGCTTCACAATTATTTCATTACATAACTCTAATTCAAGGAAAGAGGCTACAGTCAGTTTCAAGGTCGTGATGGTTTCCTGCGTCGGCTGGTTATATGTTTTCGTGAATTCGATTTCCATTGAATTTTAAAAGTTTTTTGTGCATGTTTTTCCCATTTTGCAGTGTGTAGATCAGTTTATGACGCTGGATACTACTAATAAGGTGATTTTTAGCTTGAAGTTCCCAGTTTTTATGTTGGTAGTCAAGGGTTATGGTGAACCTGCAATGATCCAGCCAAATAAGGTATACTTTTCTAATATATTAACCTTATTCAATAAGTAAACTGCCTAACCGTTCTGCCATTGTTTGAGATTAAAACTAAGAGCTGGTTTCTTATCATGATTGAAAGTAAATCAAACCGACTGGGTTTGCTTATCCGCTCTGTTCCATCCCTCACAGGACACATTAAGCTTGAACTACCGTAAATAAACACTAGTATATATTTTCAG